GACCGTTCTATATTCTTACATTTAAAGTTTGTTTCTTGTAAACAACAAATAGTTGGGTAATTTTTGAACCCATTCTGAAAAATATTTGCCTTTTTAAAGGCCATTTATATTTGATATAATTAATAATACAGTTGGATTTTACGTTTTCTATCTTGCTGTTCTTTTCTATTTGCCCCATCTGTTCTTTGTTCATTCATTCTTCCTTTCCTGCCTTCTTTCACAGCAATCAAATATGGTTGACAATTCAACTTTATCTTCTCTATTACCTTCTTTTTTTATACCTATAGGTATCATTCTTCCATTGGTTACACTAAAAAAGAATCATCCTTAATACTCTATACCTTAAATCATTACCAAATTCAAGAAGAGAATATTTAATCTTTCCACCTTAGTGTTATTGTTATTATACGTTTGACTTCAGTGAATGTTTTAAACCCCACAAGGGGGACTTCCTTGGTGGCACAGCGGTTAAGAACCCGCCTGCCAATACATGGGATGTAGGTTTGATCCCTAGTCCAGGAAGATCCCACATGCCACGGAGCAACTAAGCCCGTGCACCACAACTACTGAGCCTGTGCTCTAGAGCCTGTAAGCCACAACTACTGAGCCTGCAAGCCACAACTACTGAGCCCGTGTGCTACAACTAATGAAGCCCACGCACCTAGAGCCCGTGCTCCACAACAAGAGAAGCCACCCCAATGAGAAGCCCGTGCACTGCAGCGAAGACCCAATGCAGCCAAAAATAAATAAATTTATTTTTAAAAACCCCACAAAATAGTCCCATTATTTATGCTTTAAACAACAGTCTATTTTCTCATACATTTACCTTTTATGGAGCTGTTTATTTTTCCTTACACTTCTCTGATTCAGACCAGGATCACCTTCCTTCACCTTAAAAAGAATATCCTTCAATAGATATTGTAGTTTATGGTTAGCTGACAATGAATCCTCTCAGCTTTTGTCTATCTGAGTGTATCTTTTCCCACCTGCAATTTTAGCTTTTTCTTCAATGGGCATAGAATTCTAGCTTGACAGGTTTCTTGTCCCTTTCAGTCCCCTAAATATGTCTATTATTGTCTTCTGGCTTCCATGATTTTTCTGTTGAAGTCAGTGTTCATTCATATTTTCCCTCCAAAGGTGACATTTTTTTCTTCTAGCTGGTCTAAATATTTTCTTTTTATCTTTGCTTTTCAACAGTTTGAATCTTACGGACCTCGTTGATGTTTTCTTTGCTTTGGGGTTATTGAACTCCTTGAATTTCTGGGTTGACACGTTTCATCAGACGTGGCACGTTCTCATGCATTGTTTCTTTGAATGTTGCTTCTGGTCCTACTCGTCTTTCCAGATATTTCCTATGAGCTTGTATATGAGACCATCAGCCCCATCTCCTGTTTTGCCCAGGCACCATCCATCTAGTTAGTTCTTGATTTAGCAGTCCAAAAAGCTCATTTTATTCTTTTTCATAGAATGTAATAATCTGCTGAAATTCTCTATCTTTGTATTCATTTCCAGGGTAGTTTACTTAATATATTATTTATGGTTATTTAAAAGTCCTTGACTATTAATTCCAGATCATTTCTTGGTCTCTGTCTATTAAATGTATTATTATTAATTTTTGTCATCAAATTTCTTTTTTCCTTCTTTTCTTCTTCTTTTCGTGTCTACTAAGTTTTTATTGCATACTGCATTTGTAAAAGTTCTAGCTTAGATTTTCTTCCTCTAATGAATTTTGAGTTGTGCTGTGGCAGAATAGTTAAAGCGTTGGTGGATCACCTTAATGCTGAAAAGGTCTAGTTTTTTTTTTTTTAAATTTATTTATTTATGGCTGTGTTGGGTCTTCGTTTCTGTGCGAGGGCTTTCTCTAGTTGTGGCAAGCGGGAGCCACTCTTCATCGCCATGTGCGGGCCTGTCACTATCGCTGCCTCTCTTGTTCTCTGTGAAGCACAGGCTCCAGACGCACAGGCTCCGTAATTGTGGCTCACGGGCCCAGTTGTTCCGCGGCATGTGGGATCTTCCCATACCAGGGCTCGAACCCGTGTCCCCTGCATTGGCAGGCAGATTCTCAACCACTGCGCCACCAGGGGAGCCCTGAAAAGGTCTAGTTTTATTAGGGCGAATCTATTTTGGTTTTATTCATTTTCCTAGGGCGTTATTTGTACACCCAGAAAGTATCCTTCAGGGTGGTCTCAACCAAATGTCTAAGGTGTTCACCAAAGTCCCAACTTAAATATCTCCCCAGAATTGTGTGATTTTCAGGATCTGTACTCAGATTTCCACTTCTCAGCCACTATACTCTATCAGGCTTCCAGAATCTTGCCCTGGGACTACGCAGCGTAGGCATTCGACTAAGGAATGCACAGGAATTTCCACAGAGACTTCTGGGGTTTCCTTTCCATGCCCCTCTCTCGTGCCCTCCCAAAATTCAGTTACCTTTGCAGCTCCAAGCTCTTGAGCTATGTGTCCTCTGCCTGGTGAAACTCGCTGCTTAGTCTCAACTTTCCAGTACTTCTGCTGGAAAAAATGGCCCCTAGGGAAATATCTGTGTGAGTGGGCTCCTGACTCAAACATTGTAGCCCCGTGTTGGTTGCTTTTAATAACTGAAAATGTAGTTTTATATATTTCGTCCAGGTTACGTAGTTATTTTATGGTAGAAGGCTAAACTATCTGTCTTGTCCATATCCAAAGTCTTGTCTAATAATTGAATAAATGAATAAATCTTTTGCCTATCCTGTTCTTTTTAAAAACAAACCTAAAATGCAAGATTTCAAAATATATTTTAGTTCTAGTTTATCTCCTTTGTTTTAGATCAGCATCTGAAGTAATGTACTCTTTGGGTTCTGATTTTGGTATCTCGCAAGTTAGTACTGCCCCTCCTTTGGTTCATTCTCAAATCTAATAAGTATCCCTTTTATATTTTTCTCTTAAGTATAATTTGATAAATCTGCTGAACAGTAGGGCAGTAAGCTCAGAATCAAACACCTTACTCTGATCTAGCAAGAATCTACTTACTGGGACATTTGGGGCAACGCTGTCCAAACTGTTAGTTTTTAGTTTGTTTAATATTAACACAGTTTACATTTACCTTGTTCATAAAGATAATAGGAAGGTTGGCTGAAATTAGAAAATGCCGTATGTATCAGTTTAATGGCTACTTACAAAGAGAAATGAAGTTAACCTGGTAAGATATTTTTACTACATTGTAGTTGTTTCCTATTCTTTTCTGACTACTGCCAAAAAATTCATTTCAGGATCTTCTATACAATATTGCCAGGGATCCATCTCAAACTTAATCACTGTATAGATAACAGAATCTACTTAAAAAAATAGAACATATCTCTATGCCCATTCTTCTGGCCCCTTGTCTGTTACTTATGGATTTACCAAATATTATCAAAGTTACCCCTGTTCCCACAGGCAAATAGCAATTTCATACTCCTCTTACTAGCTATGTAACAGGCAATTTACTTAGACCTTTAAATTCCTGTGCTTTATTAAATGGGGATAAAATATTTGTGTGAAAGTTTGCTTTGAAGATTAGGGTAATATATGAAGACAACTATTGTTATTTCCTTTGAGAGTTATCCAAACAAGATGGCTTATATATTGATATCATTGTCATTCTAGTATTCTGCATGTAATTCACCTGAGCTTGGATATTTGAATTAATTTAAGTAGCCACACGTTTTCTCATTATCTTTTTTCCTGTTATGATCTTTATTCTCTGTAATCAATGTTTAGTCCCTTCTCTCCTAAAGATTGTCTACCTAGAAGGGGCTATATAGACTCAGAAAGGAAGGTGTATATTTATATTTCTCTCTTCCCTTAGTATTCCTTACTTTCTCCAAGAAGAGGTTTACCTTTTTCTGTTTGTCTTGCTCCAAATAGAATTAACAAAATCATGGTGCCTCTTTTAATATTGTTAAAAAGTTTAATTTCATACTGTGCTTTTTTTTCTTGTTTTTTTCCCCAGTTACCACTGTTGATTATCTTTGTTCTTTGTGGGATTCTCTTATAATCTTTCCTTGCATATTCTTTAAAATACCCTCAGCCTTCTGTGGGGTAACCTCATTGGCATCTTTGCCATTTTGAGATCTTTCCACTAGTTAGCTGAAAGTATTTAGTAAGAAATTTATTTTTCCCTCCCTTCTTTCCTTTTCCCTCGTTTCTTTCCTTTTTTCCCCCTTCCGTTCCTTCCTCCCTCCCTTTCTTCTTTCCCTTTTCTTTCCTTTTAGCTTCCCATTCCTCTTGAGTTATATATGAAACTTAAAAGCCTGGCTAGCAAGGTCCTATCTTTTTTTTTTTTTTTCTGATTAAAAAATGAAACAACTGTGTGCTTGTGTGTGTCCGCACACCTGTGTCTTTTCCACACACGTTTGTCTCATTTACTCCTAAGGCGTAAACTTCCAGAGAAGGAAAAGCCAAGAAGTCCTTTATTAGTACATTGCTCTGTATGAACAAACTCTCACTAAATGTCAAAAAATGAATGCATCAGGCTGCTCTCTGGGGAAAGGTTTTCAGCCGAGTCGTATACCGTAACTGAGCTGATGTTCTTTCATCAGTAAGTTGTGCCCAGGAATCTACGTCCTTCCAATCCTTCCAGGCAGTTCAAGCAAACCAATTTATAAGAGAACACGACGAAACTAATTGGCCAACAAAAGCCGTCCTTGAAGCACCAGGCGCACGATTAGGGGACACGTGTGCCCGGGCTAGGTGGGTGGGTGAGTCTTGAGTCTTCAGGGAGCCCGCCCGAGGAGGACGCTGGGCTCTCCCACAGCTGGGCGCCCTCGCCCCCGACCAGGCGCGACCGGCGGAGCCGAGCGAGCACGGGGGAGTCGAGCGCCACGCCGGCGGGGCAATTGGGCATGCTCAGAAGGCCGGCAGGTTTGGGTCTCACCCAGGCAGCTTGTGCATTACACCAGCACGCAGCCGGGGCGGGGGTTGGGGGGGGAGGAGGGAGGAGCGGGGGAGGCAGAAGAGGAGGAGCGGCCAGCAGTAGCCACGACCGCCACCACCAGGCAGAGGAAGAGTTCGCGAGGAAGGAAAGACCCTCCTCGCACTTGAAGCGGCTGGCATTTGCTTTTGGAAAAAGAGAATACAAGATAAAGGAGGAGACGGGAAGAAGAAGCGGGGGAAAGAAGTGAGGGGGGAGATAGAGGAAAAAAGGACGTGAACCGAAAGGGCTAGATCGTGCAGGGAGCCCGAGGCGCGAGGGCGGCAGTGCGGAGCCAGGAGCGCCGCCGCTTGGGCAGGTGCCGCGGCTGCTGCCCGGAGGCGGCATGTGACGCGCGGCCGCAGCTGCCCGCGGGCGGAGCGCTCTCGGACCCGGGAGCGCACACCGTGGGGCAAGTCGGTACCATCCCGAATCCCCACGCTCCTCCTCAGTTCGCCGGGGCGGCAGCGGCGCTTCTGGAAAGACAGGCGATGAACCGAAGGGCGGCTCCGGGCATGGGCGCGCGGTCCTAGGACACTCGCTTCCTGAACGCCGAGCGGGAGGCGACCAACGGACGGTGGACCGGGCGCCTCCCGCGCTTTGGGGAAGCGCAGACGACCGGCGTGGGACGGCCACCTGGAGCGCAGCGGCCAGGTAAGGACTGCCCGCACCAAGCCGGCGCTGGGTAAAGCGGGTGGCGGTAGCGGTTGACCTAGTTTTTTGCCTTGTCGCGTTGCAAAAGGAGGAAAAAGTTTTCTGCGCGAGTAGGAAATGTCCTTGCTATGGGGAGTTTAAAGCGGGTACTGGGGAGGGAGGAGAGAGTTGGTCTGTCGATTTCGGGGGCCGGGCGGAGGCTTGAACCTGGAGAGAGCGGCATCTGGGGCGGAGTTGGAGTTCTGGGACCAAGGGTGCGAAACGCCGGGGTGACCATGTGCGGGGAAAGCGACGAGAATAATACGAGCGGTGGCCGGGAAAGAACCTGGGATGCCCCACCCGGCGCTCCTTCGCTTGGATTCTCTGTCCCCCGAATGCGGAATCCGAGGCACGGAGTGTCCGGACAAGAGGAGCTTCTTGGGTCGGTGTGTGTGTGTGTGTGTGTGTGTGTGCGCGCGCGCGCGTATGTGTGTGTGGTGCGTGTGTAGGTCCCCCCATTTGATTTCCTAACGCTTTTAAGAAGGTTAAAGCAGACACCGGCCAACCTCGCAGTGGGGCCGCTACCTCGGATTGCATTTCAGGGACGAAAGAGGCAAATTTGGCACTTAGTGTAACACCTGGGCGAAGGTACTGAGCCCGGGTGCTCGTCTTCACTGACCCAGGCAGAGTTTGCGCTCGCGGAGCGGTAGCCGCTGGATTGCGGCGGATCTTCTCTCTGGAGCCCTCCCCCAGCGCAGCTTCCTTACAGCTGGGTTAATTTCTGTGTGATTTGAAGCGGTGGGGGTTAGGGGAGGGTTGACTCAAGCAGCAGAATTCACTTGTCTACTTGGCGCTTGTGCGTGCTGGCATGGTGATCCTGTTCGGCGTGTGTGCAACTCTCCTAGCACGCAGGTTGGAAGTGGTAGAGGAAGCAGAGGTTTGGGAATTGCATCCCATATGGATAGATTTCAAAACGCAAACATTCATTTGTCTGCAAGTGCTATTTGAACCTGTTCGATGGCTGTAAGGATATGCTTCCCTCCCGGTGTCCGTGTTTGCAATGTGAAACGATGGCTCTCCTTAGGAGGTAATTTAAGCGTTTATGTTGTTAAGGACACTGATTATTTCACTGTATGCTTTGCACAGACCTATCATTTCTCTCTTGGCCTCTGAATGCCAGCAAGCCAGTAGTCCTCCATGTGGGGTCTTTTGGGGTTATGACTGGAAAAATAATCTTTGTAAAAAGTATATTGGCTGGTTATATAGTGCCAGATAATCTTATGTTGTGAGATCATTGTATTGCATGAAGCATTCATCACTATTTTCTGTGTTTAAAACAATGCCCCTGTATTTACTTAAGAGGCACTACACAAGAACATACACTTCAGAAAGGGGAGAGCTGACGCTGAAACAAATCCATGCATATAGACAGGGTTGTGGTAGTAGCTTATTAATTAAGAAGAAGAAGAAGAAAAAAAAACCTGAGGTCTTTCTGTTCCAAATGTGGTGGGATAGATATGGTGGTGGGATAGATATGGCGTTGGGTGCACCCTCTTGTTATGGGAGCTGGTACTGTGGAGTATACGTAGAACACGCGTGCCTCTCCAGTGTGGATTCAGCATGCCACAGATACGTGGTTTTGATCATACACTCCTATCACTGAATAACCCATCTTTAGATTTTGTGTACATGGTTTTTTGCAATTAGCTTAATATGTAAATAGCTATTGTTGAGCTAGAAAGCACATTAATTTTGAAATGGGTTTCCATATGGAACTGTAACTTGAGCTTAAATTACTAATTTAAAATTAATTACATTGCAGGTCTGATTTAGACCGTTTCTGTAGGCTGGGGAGGGTGGTATAAGATTGAATTTAATATGAAAATAGTAGTATTGAAATACTGACTTTTAAATAACAACCCATATTCCAATATGCTTGATATTTAAAAAAGAATATGAGATGAAAAGTAGATTTTGAAAAGGATCCTCGACAGTGTATACCTTTTGCGTGGAAAATTATGAGAAAAGTGTAATTTGGGGAAAAGGAAAGCAAGTTTATGGAATTGGTTAAGATTTACAGAATGATCCAGCGTGTTACAGTAATGAGTAGCTCTGCATTAAACCTGCATTTAAAGTTATTTAGGAAACTTTCCTTTAAAGTTTAGAGAAATGGGTGATTGTTTATTACCTCATTTGTCTTCCTGGGACAAAAGGTAAAAATATAACTTCAAAAATATTATTTATTTCTGAAGATTATTTAGGCATACTTAAAAGTTCTTTAGGGCGCACCCTTTCATTTTCTCATCCTTATAAAGACAGCTGATTTATTTCCTTACAAAAAGAAACTTTGTTATTTTAAGTGTGTAAAAACATGAACTTCTTTGCATGATATTTTAGCATTTGATTGCAGACAACCTGTTGAACATGTCTAGAAAAAAATACGAAATTTGCAGAACTAGAATTTCTTGAATCCATACCAGGAAACTGATTAGACAGAAAATTAAACCATATGATTAAAAGCAAAGCTGCCTTGTGTATTTGAACATAAGAAAGTAATTTTCTCTATCGTCCCCGGAGCCAACATAGTGTTCTCTCCTAATAAAGTTGTTAACATTGGCAAAATTAGTTGCTTACCCCTAAATGGCCTGGACGTTGTCAGTGTAACTATTAAGAAACTGGGTCTTGTTTGCAGTGCAGGGAAGTTTATGTTGAGAACAGCTGTGATGTAGTGGCACTTCAGATAGGAGATGAATGAACTGTGACGCCTATGAAGCGTGAGCCTCTGATCGGGACGCAGAGAGATGCATCTGCCCTTCACTTACGGGACCTAATTGGATGTCATAATGTATTGTGACTAATAGCATTTTCCTCACGTTGTGGTTCTGAAGTATCAGTGAGTGACTGGAAATGTTTTATTTTACACAGTAGGTTGGTGAATTTAAAACACGTTTTTCTTACAGAAGAGTATCAAAAAGGCATATATGGCTCCAGTAAAAAAAAATAAATAATCAAATCCCTCCACCATGATGATTTTTAAAAATTAATCAGGATAATAAAATGTGTCTCATGCTTAATCCTTGAATGCAGTGCTTTCCCGGGTGTGATGGCAGTGACGTGTTCCACAAGATTTTTCACCTTTCAATCTCATTTAGTCCAGAGGAATCCCTATCCTGGTTATTTGTCTTAACAGAACTTTGGGATAAAATTTCACCGTGAATGGAAAGTTTTAATTTTAGAGGGAGAATGTGAAGAGATCATTGAAGGAATTTGACAGGAGGCAAAGCTAGTCAAATTAGAAATTAATTTCAATTTCTCGAATCTGACAGTCTCTATCTTCTCCATTAAGGAAGTGGTCCTTGCTCCTATCAAATTCAAAGTAGCCGCTTTGAATCCTCAATCAGTTGTCCCTGTACTTCTTCCTCCATGGACGCTCCGCCGAAAGGCTGTGCAAGTGCAAAGGTTCCCCCCTTCCGTTGTGAACCCAGCGTCTCTAGAGAGCTCTGTTAGACATCTCCATTCCCTAAAAGTTACATATCCTGTGCAGTACAGATCTGCATTAGCATTGTCTTCAAACAAAGAAATAAAGAGTTTTGATGCAGTGAAGCTACTGCAAATGTTGAATCACAGTGGGCCTTCCAGGAAGACTGTGTTCCCTCTCCAGAGCATTTCTTTCCCAGTGCACAGATGGAGATGATCGGACAGTAGTTGCAGAGTGGGTTTAAGAGTTGAAAGGCATGATGCCTGTGCACACACTTTTTGATCAGTCTCTAAAGCACTGTAAAATGCCGTGCGCGATTTGGTTGCCCACCCACCTTTCTATTCCTTGGCGTGGAGCATGGAGAGCCAGTGTGTAGGTGTCCCTCTGGCTCAGTAGTTGGCTACTGTGTGTTCCTTTTTGTCCAGAAATTTGGGCGGCTTGCAGACTCTCCTGCCTCTGGCAGGCTCTCCCCTTCAGGCTGGCAGTTTTGTTCTCCCACCTGTTGGAACTTCCTGCTCATCAGCTCCCAAGGGCCAGGTTCTCTGGCTGGCGCGCACCTTCTCAGACTTCCTCTGCGGAGGTGCAGCTGCGGCTTGCCACGCTGACACAGGACCTGGGATCTACTGGTGATGACAGCAAGCCAACAGAAGCAATAGTTGAGCCACTGCCATCTTCTTCTCACCAGTTGTGCCAGCTCATCCTGAAGCCAGCTAGAATGTGAACACTTTGAGGAGGAACAATGGTGGAAAAAAACCACAGTAGCTGGCGGGTGCGCTGTGGGGTTTGAGCTCTTGCCTTCCCCAGCCCTGTTCTGTTGAGACTGGGGGTGGGGGGAGGGCTGGCCTTCCTGATTCATCAACCGGTGCTGAAACAGAAGAAGGGAGTCTGAGACGGGATTACCTGCCCTAACCCTAGTGAGCTCTACTAATTGCCATGCCCAGCTAGCCTCGGTTTCTGCAACCCTTGTCATATTTGCCATTTCATAGGACTAAACTTTTCTCATGTTTTCAGTTTGCATTTGCAGGACTGAAGTTGTGCCTAGAAAGACTTTAGCGTGACCTTGACAGCCTCACCCTTTCCAAGAACTTCTGTCCAGAAGCAAGAGTTTACTCCCTCCCTTGCCAGTCTCTGGTGCAGTCCTGAAGTGGACAAACCCCTAGCTAGGCCTGAGGCAGGGCCACCCTTGGGACAGTGTATCATTTCTGCCTGGAGACTTGTGCTGCCAGGTTCCACTTGACAAATCTCCTTGTGTGTCATTGTTGGCAGGATCAAATCTCTGTTCTCCACTCTCCTCCTGGCCACTGTAATTTGAGTTGTTGACTCTCCACTACGGAATTAATCCTTCATTAGGTCATTTGTTCTAGCCTAGCCCCAGCTTATTTCCTGTCCCCGGTGTTCCCTTGAAATCCGGCACACCAGCTGAGCCATGACATATTCTACCTTCAGTCACCTCTACTGCAGGAAGTGGTGCTCGTCTAGACATCCTGGGTTGAGCAGGATATCCTCCAGTGACTGCTGTTTAGATAAAAGTCAGGTGAGGTTA